CGCATCCCCTTCTTTCTGGGCCCTCGATCCCCATTTCCTCGTTCTCGCGATCGTCCTCCTCGATCCTCTTCGACCCTTGCTCCTCGCGACTTGCCTCCTATAGATCACGTCCTCCTCGGCCCCCGATCTCATCGTTGTCGATCCTCGATCCTCCTCGATCGTCGATTCCCCATCGATCCCCATCCCCTCGGCCCCCGATCCACACATCAATCCTTCCTTGCAAGCCCTCGATCCTCGATCCCAGTCTCCCCCGACTGCAAGTTTCACGCTTCAGGCATGCGCCTGCCCGCGCTCGTTGCGTTTCGACCCCCGCAGGTCGCCCTCGAGCCCCCCCCTCCTCGCGCCCGGTCTCGGAACCGCGCCCCGCCGTATTTCTGGAGAATGTCGCGGGGATCACGAGCAAGTCAAGCGACGTACGCTCATGATCACACATGTATGGCGCGGGTCCAAAACACACATATATATATATATATATATATATATTCCTCTTCCTATATTTTTACAAGCCCGGGCGGCCGCAAAACCCCGCACCCCCCCCCCCCCCCAAACCGGACTCCTGGGATCCTGGGACTTTGGGACCCTCCGGACGCCCATTGAAGCGGTCCCGAGTGCCTCAAGAGCGCTCCAAGACAGGCACAAAGCGCTCCAAGACGCCAAAGATAGCCCCAAGACAGCCTCAGGAGCCCCCAAGACGCCCCAAGCGGCCCCAAAGAAGCCCCCCAAGACGGCCCCGGGAGGCCGAAATGGTCAATTTTCCAATGTGTTTTTCGATGTTTTCTGCTTTCTCGCCATTTTAGCTTTCCGACGCTCCAAGACAGAACTAGAGGCCCTCAAGAGCGCCCCAAGATGGCCCGGGGGGGCCCCAAAACGGCCCCAACACGGCCCCAAGACGGCTCTGGAGCGCCCCGAAACAGCCCAAGAGGCGCCCAAGAAGGCCCAAGAGGGCGCCGAGAAAGCTTCAAACGAGCCCCCACAGGGCGATCAAAGTTCAAACATCTAACTTTCCGCCCCAAGTGGGCCCCAGGAGGCCCCAGGAGGGCCCCAGGAGGGCCGCGCTAGACGCCAACGCGCGCAAGGGTTGAAGGACCAAGGTGCATGGCGCGAAGCGCCAATGCAGTCTTGTATATATATATATATATATATATATATATCACAATCCTTCTTCACAGTTCCTGCATGCAACGGCGCAGATCGTATGCGATCTGCGCCGTTGCATGCAAGAACTTATATGTTACGCGATGCCCCGCAAAAAGTGCTCGATACATCCTCCACAGCCGCTGGGCGTCAGAGACCCCCGGGGTCGAGGGGCGGGAAGAGTCGGCGATGCAGGAGGCGGAGGAAACACCACATCATGGAATTCGAAATTAAATCTCTTGCACTTCCCCCCCCGACCCGAAACCCCATCCGAGCTCCCTCCCCCCCCAGCGCCTCTGTTCGCTCAGGACGGCGGCACGTGCCCGTCGCGAAAGCGACAACGTGGATATACGCATACGATCGTCGGAAAATACACCTCGTCCCTGCCCCCCCCTCTTCCTGCGCGCGTTCGACGCCTTTCGATTTTTCCTGCAGCTCACGGCGCAGCCCCCTTCTCCTCCTCACCCCTCAACCCCCTCGGCGCACTGCGGCTGTTGTTTTTGTTTGGGCGAACGTCCGACGCAGCCGCCAGTTGACTGTACGCGCCGCCGCCGCCGCGCGCGCCGAAGCCCCGACCGATGTCGGCCCTCGAGACGATCCGCAAAACCAGCGGAAGGCGATCGAGTTGGACAGTGGATCGACGATTTAACCCTGCAGGGCGTGGTTATTTTTATATCTGTACATATAAACGTACAGCTATATATGTGTGCACACATACATATATATATATATACACATACATACATACACACATATCTATATACATATATATATATATATAAATATATATATATATATATGTATCACTCTCCCCCTCGCGTCGCGGTCAGTTCTGGCCGAGGACGGGCGCGGGCTGCCCGTGGAGGGGGCGCCCGTCGACGCTCTGGACCCTGAGTCGGAAATATCCTCGATCCCTACCCCGCTTCCGCTCGGTCGGCTGCGACGCGGCGCGTCCGAGAGCGTGGAGTTGAAGTGCGTGCGCATGCATCATATATATATATATATATATATATATATATATATATATCACTGTGATACGACATGATATATGATGTATCCAACATAAGTACATGATCGCATGTGCCCATGATATGCGGACCTGGAATTCGATATGTAAGTTTTGCCCACATTACATGAATCATGGGTACATGACAACTCATGGGTACCGTGCCTATGTCATGAGGCCCACGACCCTCTGGGTTTGTTGTTGGGCATTGTACCAATCTTTTCCGTACCCATTTCGGGCGTCCGAAGGATGCTGGGACGTCCTCGTGTTGGAACTTGGGGCATGGTGCGCGTGTGTTTTCGAGTATGGTGCGGCAGCTGAGTTGGGCCATGCTTTTGAGCGCTCCGAGAGGGAGCAGCGTGCGAAGATGGAGGAGGAAGAGGGGAGATGAAGACGAGGAGGAGAAGTAAGACAATCACTGTAATGGGAGCAGTCGAGGCGAGGGGCGGGCCAACCGTGTTACTCGACTCTGGTATTGGCAACTGCTGGAGAGAGCACCTGGTGAGCCTGCAGAACAGGCGCCGCGGTGGTTACCCACGGGGCGAACTGGCATGCACGCGTTCCAGTCGTAGCGTGTTGGCGTGTATGGCCTGGACACGCGTGCGACCGAACATTCGGGCGTTTCAGCGGTATGGCGTATCTGGGCTCGATCTTGGGCCTCGTTCAGCTCTTTTGAGGTCTCGCAGGGCCTTTCGGTGTCTTCTTGCGGCCTGTTGAGGGTACTGGGAGCTATGCTATAGCCGTCTTGGAGGACCCGGGCTGGCCCCGGAACGGAACGAGCGCTTCAGGAATTTGCCCGACAGGGTTCATGGGAGCTCACTATTGGGAGCCTTGCTGTCAAGAGCTTTTTCACGTCATCGCTCGCTCTTGGGAGCCTCGGCGTTGAGAACTTCTTACGTCACCGCTCGTGTTGGGGAGCCTTGGTTTGTACGGTTGATTACGTCACCGTTTGCTCTGGGGAGATTTGAAGTTCAGACATGTTTACCTCACCATTCGCTTTTGGGAGCCTTGGCGTTCAAAGCTGTTCATGTCACCGTTCGATCTGAGGAGCCTTGGCGCTAAGGGCTTTTTGCGCCACTGCTCGCTCTTGGGACCCTTGGCAATCAGAGCTTCTCACAGAACCGACTCGTGCAGAAAGGGCTTGCAAGTCCTTGATGTCCTTGGGAGCCTTGGCGTAAAAGCTGCGGCCGGGGGTCGGGTCCCCTGGGGGCCCTCTCGGGTGTCTTGTGGTCCTCTGCGGCCCTTTTGGGGCCCAGGAGGGCCGTCTCTTTGGGCCGTCTTCTGCTTCTTGGGAGCTCCCTGCGTCACTCTGGACGCTCTTTCGCGAGCCTATCGGGGCCCTCCTGCGCCCCTCTCGGGCAGTCTTGGGGGCTCTCGCTGGCCGTCCAGGGGACCTCTTGAGCCTTCTCTTCGGGCCTTGTGGGGGGGCCTCTTGGCCCGTCCTGGGGCCGTGCTCGGAGGCCCTCGGAGCCGTGCCCGGCCGACCTGGGCCCGAGCAGGCGAGAGCCCGACACGCACGAGAAACGCAGGGAGGGGTGGTCATTTTGCCCCCACCCCCCAACCCCCCCCCCCCCCCCCCCCCCCCACCCCCCCCCCCCCCCCCCCCCCCCCCCCCCCCCCCCCCCCCCCCCCCGACTCCCCCTTCCCCCAAAAAATCTCCCCCTTCCCCCCTCCTGGGGCCGTCTGGGGTGTGCTGTTGGGGGCAGGTTGGGCCGTCCCATGGGGCCGTCTTGGGCCATCTTGGGGGGCTCGGGTCGCCTTGGAGCCCTGGCTGGGCCCTCTCTGGGGCCCCCTGTGTGGCCCTCGGGGGCTTTCCTTGCCTCCCTTGGGGGCTTTCCGTGGCCGTCTTGGGGCTCCTGTGGGCCTCCCTGGGGCCCTCGCAGGGGCCTCCTGGGCCGTCTTGGGGGCAATCTCGGAGGGTCTCAGAGGCGTCTTCGGCTTATCTGGGCCAGGAGTCCAGATCACAATGATCCCAGTGCGACCCTACCTAGGAGTTGGAGCCCCTAGGGAAGCAGCATTAGTAGTAACAATAAAGCTAAGCTAAAGCTAAGCTAAAGCTAAACTAAAGCTAAGCTAAAGCTAAGCTAAAGCTAAGCTAAAGCTAAGGTAAAGCTAAGCTAAGGCTAAGCTAAAGCTAAGCTAATAAAGCTAAGCTGAAGCTAAAGCTCCCAGGGGACTGGGGGAGGGCTCCTGAGGCTCTCTTCTGGAGGGCCTCTGGGGCCGTCTCGTGGCCGTCGTGGGCCATCTCGAGGACATCTAGGCCATCTTGGAACGCTCTCAGACTCTCTGCGGCTCTTTTCGAGCGCTCTCCGGCCGCCTCGGATCCCTCTTAAGACCTCTGTTTGGCCCTCCTGGGGGACCTCTTGATCATTTTCGGGGGCCTCCTGGGCTGTCTTTGGGAGAGGGCGGGCGTGTCACCCGGGATTGGTCCCGCGTCGCCCCTCCCCTGGAACCCCTCCCTAGAGGGGTTCGCCCCACCAGAACGTCCCCACCCGCACCTCGCTCTTTCCGTCTAGTAGCGGAGTCTAGAGTCTAGAGTCTACGCAGAGTCTGGATATGGGATAGAGCCTAGAGTCTACGTAGAGTCTACGTAGAGCCTAGAGTCTACGTAGAGTCTACGTAGAGTCTCCCGCAGGCGTCGGGATATGGGTCTAGAGTCTACGTGGAGGCTCGGAGGGCCCAGAAGGTGCGCCCAGTTGCGCGTAGGACCCCCTTCCTCGAGTGGGGTGCTGGATTCCATGGGAGGGGGGGAAGCAGGGAGAGGGGGCCACACACACACACACACACACACACAAACACACACACACACACACCACACGCTCTCTCACCCCCAGCAAGCGCTGGTCGGCGGATTTCGAAGTTGCGCGAGGGGCAAAGTTCTTCATCGGAGAGGAAGGTCTGTCAACATTCGCAATGGCCATAATGACCTCGAGGAGCTGTGCTGGGCTTCAGTGCAATGTCCATCTGGGGCCTGATGGCATGGGAGAGGCAGCCGTGGACCTCGACAAGGACATCGTGATGTGGGTCCAGCAAAGAGGCCGTCTCCACTGGAAGTGCTCACTTTCCAGGTCGCTGCCCCTCCAGGCCTACATCGAGCCTGAAAGGGGCAGCCGGCCTCGCCCGTGCTGTCGACCAGAGCGGTGCTCCCAGTGCGGGGAGGGGGAGGACGGACAGGAGATCCGAAACGGAAACAGCTGCATGAGCATGAGCTTTCGCAGGTCCGCGCGGATCTCTTGGGTCTGCCCTGGACCTCCCTGGCGCAGCCCCTGGCGCCGCTCGAGGTTCTCTGCACGGACCTCCGACGGTGTTCTTGTGTCTGGACGTGCCTTGGACCCCTGCGGCGGGGCGCTAGCTGAACGCCCCCGTCGGTCTGCCTGTCCATCTTAGAAGGCCAGAAACCTTCAAACACGTTTTGAAAATCATTGGTTCCTGCTGCGTGGGGCCCTCTTGGGGGGCCTCTTGGAGGCCTCTTGGGCCGTCTTGGGAGCGGCGCGCCGCGCTGCGCGTGCAGCGCTGCGCGCCGGTGGCGCCCGGCCGACCCTCACTTGCTCGCCTCGGGAGCGAGCGCGCATCTCTCGGCCTGGCAGCGGTCGCCGGCCGAAGCAGCGGGCCCGTGCGCTCAGCCTCCCTGACATCTCCGCGCCGTGATCGTCGCTGTGGCCGAGGTCGGCTGCGGGCCCAAGGGGGAAGTCAGAGGGGGCGGGCCTTTTCAGAAGGCTCGGGAGGCCTCCGGCCTCCTGAGGAGCGGAGCTGTCTCCCAAGGGCAGACGACTTCTCAGAAAGCCGGAGGGCTTCTGAGAAGCCCTGCCGCCCCCCCCGCGGCCGTGGCGGAAACGCCACGGCGCGGCGTCGTGGCCGATCGTCGGCCACCGGCGGGGTCCCCCGCGGGGCAGCTGGGGCCGTCGGAGGATCGGCGCGGGCCTTCGCACCCCCCCCCCCTCCTCCCCCCCTCCCCCTCCTCCCTCCTCCTTCTCCTCCTCCTCTATCTCCTCCTCCATCTCCTCCTCCTCCTCTCCTCCTCCATCTCCTCTTCCCCCCCTCCCCCCTGGAGTAGATCTTGGCTGTTTCTTGGCGCCTGGTTCGAGCAGGTGGCGCGTCCCCGACAGGACGCACTGCTGCAAGCAGTGGCATGGAGCAGAGCTCCGGGGCCAGACCCCCCCCCCTCCGCCCAGTGTCGAAACGCCGAAACGCCGCACAGGAGAACGCTCATGTAAAGGCAAGCCGATCCCCCCTTGACGGGGCCCAGACCTTTGGGGAGCCGCGTCGTGTCAAGGCCACGGCGACGGATGCCATGGGCGCGTGCACGACCGCGGCGGCCAGCGCCGCCACGCCTCAGCTCGGAGGAGGCGGGGCTCCGCCGCAGAAGAATAGATACACGGACGCCCTCCGATGGATTGATTGTTCGCGGGCCGCATGCGAGGGTGGCGATTCGGGAGCCTTGAGACGGGGGTCAGTGCAAACGGGGGTCAGCCAGGGCGCCGGAGCCTGCAGGATCCTGCGAAGACCCCCTCTGGCTGACCCGGGTTAGGGAGCCGCTCGTGGCCGCGAGGCGGCCGCGCCTATTGGCTGACCCGGGTCTGAGAAGATCTGCGTTGCAGTTTTTTTCCTGCTTTGCAGTTTTTGGTTTCCTGCTGACCTGGGTCTGGATTGACCCGGGTCAGAAGATCCCCGAGCGATGTCCAAATCATCGCTGGAAGCCATCGACTTTCTAATTGCACCGCCACCCTCGCCGAAGGCACACGCAGAGTTCGTCGGAGGGTTTCTGTACATGTTCTCCGTGGCGTGCGGGAACTATGGGAACATATGATACCAGTGTGGAAGCAGATCGAAACATGTGGAAACTTGTGGGAGGGGGGGGGGGGGAAGACCCACACCCAG